CCCCCATCTCGAATTTTTCCCACTTTGTCCGTTCCTCCCCTCTGTGATGCCTGAAGTCAGCTAAGGGGCTAATGATAGCTATCAAAACGCCTGCCATTTGATATGAATAAATTATTGGTAATTTGTTAGAATGAGAGCGAGGTGACTAAAGACTTAAACCTCTTATTGTTTAAAATAAGTTTGGTACACTATGTCAATGAAAGGTCAAAAGAAAACGGTTATTATCAATAAGTAAATAATTAGACAAGATTTACATTAACACGTTAAGCGATCCGTATAAAAGTGCCATTCAATGTGACGAATTTCAAATTAGACTTTTTTTAATCATGCATTCTTCTTTCAGAATCATTAAGGAAAATTATGCCGATGAAATACATTTCAATGTGTCTTTTATGTTTAAAAAACATTTTTAACTATGCGAAACTTGTAATCACTAAAAGTGCAGAACAATTCTTTCAGTTTTTTGGGAATTTAAATAACAATGCTCTAAAAATGATTATAAAGGCTTTGAATGCTAGAATGCTATGTGAAATGCACAATTATATTAGAGAATACAAAATGCTCCAGTATCCAGATTTTTAAACAAATATATATATTATCTTTAGTCTACACCTCTGAATAGGACCGCGGGATCACAAAAAATTTCATTCACCTCAGTGGCAGAATATGCGTCAGTAATTTTCGTTCAAAATGTTTGATTCAAAAGAAGAAACTGTTCTTGAAGATATTTTGTTGAACATAAGCGCGCTTAAACGCCTTTACTGCTGTCACTTTTCTGACAACAACGACTTTGTCATTTAATCCACCCGGAAACAATGGCTTGGGAAAACCAAAATGAAATTAACAAATAAATAGTAATTATAAAGGGGGAGGGGAGAGGACACATATGCCTAATTTTGAGCAAAACTTATTCATAAGTAAAATGTTAATAGCAGTAAAAATTAGCAATTTTTGATAATTTTGAAATATGAGGCCTGTATCTGAAAATGTATGTCTTCCACTGCTAATCACTACTTTTAAAAACGTATATATTATATGTCAATTTGGCCATATAATTAATTTTATAAAGAACAACTTTCTCTTTGTTAGCCCATTAAAACAACAATTTTAAATGAATCTCAATCAAGCGTTTTATTTGGAGGACGGCACATAGCGAAATGTAAAAAAAGATTCGTATTTTTTAAATAAATGGGGTGTGAAATGTCGAGGTTCTCATCATGAAACAGATCAGCCAAAATGGAAGAACTACTGCTTTAACATCTCAGGAAATGTTCCAAATTGGTGACTTGTGGTGAAGGCAGCCGATTTTAAACATTTATTTAGTTATTAATTTTCAATGATCAATGATATTTCAAACCGAGCTGGTTACTCAGAAATATAATTCTTTTGATCATCAGAGTTACCTTGAAGCATTCAAAATCAATCCGAATCCTTAAAATTTTTTGCCAGAAAAAAATTTATTGAAAATGGAAAGACGACCATCATTTTTAATGTCTCGGCCACAAAAAATTATTGTGCATATTAAGCAAGAATTTTGCTTTGTAAAAATAATAAATTTGAAGTCGGGAATTTGAGTTGACAATTATGTGAATAAAGTATGACACGATTTAAAAAAGCCTAGTGAAGTTAAACTTCAAAATCTTTCCGATTTTCTCAAAATCGTCCTACCACAGTCGCCTTTCATCAAGGAAATCTAGAGATATGTCATTTTTATTCTTTTTCTCTTATGGTTTGTAAGAAAGATGCAATGTACTTTTTCCGGTATAATTTTATGCCAATGCTAATAAAATATTTTATTCGAAAGTTATTTAGTGTTATATCTTAACTCGGCGGAGTGTGGGATAGACCTAACTCCACGTGGTGCACCCTGGGCAACCCATATTCATATGGCAAAAAAGTCTAAAAAACGGCAGTTGATTTCTGATTTTACACTGCAATGACCCCACCGAATGCCATATCCCACCATTTTCACAGTATTCATCTTACCTTTTCTCTGCCTTTGTGTCTGTTTTTCTGTCTTTTACATCTGTGAACCATCCTTCTATTCCCCACCCCTCGACTTTCTGTTACTTTGATATTCCTCCCCTCTGTGAAGCCCGAAGTCAACTAAAGGGCTGATGATAACTATCAAAACGCCTGCCATTTGAAATAAATAAATAAATATTTTAACCCACCTTGTCAAGATCTGAAGTGCTCCTTTGTGTGACAACGCCCACGTATTCATTAATCCCTTTCAATTCCTCTCTTAGAATATTCCTAGTCAATCCACCTTTAATAGGTGTTTCCAATAGACCTGGAGACATAAAGCTCCATTGAATAGCCTACACTATGCAAATTATATTTCATAAGTAAAATTAGTTCGGCATTGTGTAGACTACAACTCTCTAGCAACATTCCTTCTGTTCAAAGTTGAGCTGTTTACTGAAAATATTTTTTTAGTCATTTAATTTTTAATTAATGCAAATGGAAAGTACAATCCAATGGCCAAATTTTAACTTGAAATTAAATCAGTGAAAATTCAATCACTTCAGTCCCATGTAGCATAATTATAGACTAAAAATGCAATGTATAAAACTAGCAAAACAAACATGCATTAAAATATGAAATCAATGTGCGAAGAAGGGGAAAATAATGATGAATCAATCTAAAAACGTCTAAAGTAGAAAGGCTAATTAAAATAATATATATTGAGAAAATCGCAAAATCCTTGTTTAATGATAATAATCTTTCAGTTCATATATATATATATATATATATAGAATGTGCATGCGGTAGCGCTAACTTTATTTCGATTAAATTGTTAGCGTGGGGATTCGCTCTCTTTATTGGTAAATTCTAAACTTACTCATGATTATCTTGACATCAATATAACAAAAAAGAGGTAATATATATGGAAGAGATCCATATGTGAAACCAATTTCAAATTAAATTACAAATATACCTTATAGTTCATTAAAGTTAATGGAAAAAATTGCGTAAAAATATGAAGCATACTACCTTGAATTCTTTTGATTATTGGGATTCTGTAGACTAATTACAAGGTTGAAGAGAAATTTGGCTGCATCGTCAAATGTGTCATTGTTTGGCGATCTCGATCGAGAAAAACTTTCAGCAGCTTCAACTATACCATCTCTATATATTCGAAGGCATTCCAAATAACGTGAATGGACCATTGCAGAAGATTGGCTACGGCACTTGAGTTCCAGCAAGGAACTTCCAATTTCTACGAATTTTAATTCAATGAAATCTAGCCAAGCAGAAAACAACAAATTAAGAGTCATGATAGTGAAGACTAGTTGACCAATATTATGCTTACTCACGTTTGAGATTTCTCAACAGGTTTCGCATCTCCTTAATACAGAATGCAATATATGATTTATAGCCATCATTTGCTTCTTGAGTAGAGCGTTTTAATAGTTCGTATTTAATGCCCTTGGAACAGCAATCCTGGGTACCATATGGTTGTGCACAAATATTCAAATCGTGAAAAACACTATCTTAAATTAAAAAACGAAAATTTAAAACAACTAGAGAGCGAGCTCCTTTGAAACATTACGAATAATTCACGTTCAGCAAACCTTTGGGAAGGTCATCTGTGATTACTTCCATAGCTATCAATTCTTTATTGACTTCGTCACAGCTTGATTTAATACTTCCTGAATATGCAAATAGCATCTGCCGTTGCAATGCAAATAAAAGAAAAATATAGCGAATAAAAATAATCATAAGTGCATCGTAATTAAGGGTATTTATTGTAGATCAAAATCGAAATAACTATTTTTCGCGTATGTGCATCTTTTCGTAAAATTGTCCAAGGTTAATTTAAACGTATTGAGGAATTTAAACAATAAGAGTTAATGCCACATATTTAAAATAATAGGACTCCAATAGGAAAAAAAGCAAGAGGTTTTAGTGATGCAAACTATTTGGGAAAATTTTCGCAGTTTTTTCATTCTTGAACAGGTCTCTATATGTGTGCTGTTTAGGATAGTTTTGCATGATTCAAGAAATTAAAGGCCATTTATATTAATGGGATATATGTATATGTGAGAAAGTTTGATATTAACTTGTGCATATTAAGAAATAATACAGGGACAGTTCATTTAAGAACGAGAAAATGAATCGTTAAGAATGAAATTTTGTGCTATTTCTATGCTTGGAATTGTCCACTATAGAGTTTCAGAAAAAGAAAAGATACTTATTTCGCCAAGGTTTTACAGACCATCAAAACTAAACACATGAAACAAGACTAATGCAGTATTCAATAAATAAAAATCTTTGAGATGTAACGCATTATTACTTTAAAAACTAATAAATATATAATTTGAATTATTTATGCTTTCTCTTTGAATGCTGGCATCCTTCATTTTAATTCGAAAAATGAAAAAAACTTTCTGAGATATGATTTTTGTCTATTGATTAAGGGAAAATATATTGAATACAAATACTTTAAATGTTCAAATATCCTATTTTGATTGGTCTTTATTGCACAATTTCGACATTGTGATTGGACAGGTCATTTTAAAAGGGATATGACTTTGAGGATTATATTCTAGCCTTTCCATTGAGAGTAGGTTTAAAGGTCACTGGTACGTGTTTGATTTATCAAATTTTTATGGTTTTATACTCAATCAATTGATCATGATGAATACATTAAAACATTTAAACTGCGCTTATTTGAACTACCAAACTAAAGTATAATTGATTTGATTCGGTAACATGACTTCGGCTTCAAAATATGTCTTTCTCTTAATCTAATCCGAGTGATCGAATTTTACTATTTCGGTTTATTATGACGAGTTGATTACTTTTTGAATGCTTCTAAAGAAATTTATTTAATTTGGTTTAAAGTTTCTTGATTTTATATTTTCTTTACTTATGTAGGGTCTTGCTCTTTTGACTTCGTATATTTTATATTTTTTTCGTTAGTGTATTGGGTGTGATTTCCCCTTTTCGAGTTTTAAAATTTGAAAATGTTTAATTTTTTAATGCTTAGTGAAATCACATTTTTGTACTTCTTTTTGGTGTCTTACTTATTCTTCCCTTAGGATTCGATGTATTACTTTGGAATCGTTTGCCACATTCTATATGCTTTATTGACCGAATGCATATTTAATGAGTGCATGTTTATTCAACACAAAGAAGCTTTCTTTAAATTATATTATCTTTACAGTTCTTGTCTGTTGACAGCTAAATGAAATTGTTTACATACCAACATATTCGACAGTTTAAATAGTCCTCGGCGATTTTACCATATATTTTGTAGTGTTTGTCGCAGTGTTTATGTTAGTAAGTAATAATTATTTGTATTCAATTGTCAATCCAACAAATGATGGAGGTTGAAATGAGTGTCAACCTTTCAAATGGTTTTAGTTTATTTGGTTTATACCCTGATAGGTACTATACGTTTCAAATTTCATAATTCCTCTTTTTGCTAAACCTGTTGCAGTGGATCTGCGATATCTAATGTGTTTAATCTTGTTTATTTCAGTAATGACTTTCATTGAGACAAACTCACGAAAGCCCTCGAATCCCCGAACGTGTTTGGAGTTGGCACTTGAAGCCGAGCGCATCTGCAAGACAACACGCGACTACACCACTGCTATTCGTCTCTTCCGTCAGGCCCTCGCTGTTGGCACTGATGATATTGCCGTTCTCTCCGCCATCTACTCCCAACTCGGCAACGCCTACTTCTACCAGCACGACTTTCTTCATGCCCTCGAGTTTCATCGCTGGGATCTCTCCCTTTCTCGGTGAGAATTTGATTGTATTTCTCTTTTAATTTTTTTTAAAAGATTATATTGACTATTACTTCTATTCCCTTAACTCTTGTATCCCCGTAGTTGAGTTGTCCAAGCTTTTTTTGCTTTGAGTTTTCGCTGACTGGGATGAACTATAATTTGTTTTGGGTCCAGTGGGAAGATATTTCGGCTCCTCAACTTCATTTTTTAGCGAATTTCAAAATCATCTCGGCTGTATTAGTAAAAAAGTGGTGTTTGCAGCTTTATGCTGCTTTCGTTCTTTCATTTGATTCCAATTTTATTTTGTTGTATTATGTACTCAAATTATTGGAATTCACTGATCCTGTGAGATTTGTACCTTGATTTTGTTATCTATAATAAGACTTCCTTCTCTGTGTCATTTCTATCATTTCCCATTGCGACGCAAAAAATTGCACTTTCTAATTTGTTGTGGAAGATATGAGATCAATGTGCAACCATTTAAGTGCCATGGGCCATTTAATTTGTTTTATGCTATTTCACGTTAACAAAATCCATATTTTATAATGCATCCCTATCAAATTCGCGTTCTTACTGGCCACGTTTTGTTGGCCACAAGGGGTCGTTCTTGTCACCTCACTTTGTCTTTTTCCAATAGTGTCAACATGTCGTAGATGTGACATTGGAAATTTTATGTTCGCATCAAATTTTCGTAATGGATTCAATCAATCCAGGTTTACTTTTTATATCTGCTATTCATTGGGATTGCTAAGCTTCAAATTTGAGGCACGTTAACTCCTAATATTCAGTATAGAATGAATGAGTTATAATTTTCGTATAGTTGACTTTTCGGATCAATACTTTGATTGTGAAAGTGCGTTGGTTCGCCAAGCAGTGCTCTTCGCTGAACCGTATTGATGGTTTTGGTAGACAAAGGAAAAAGGATAAAACTATCCAAACACACATGTAGTGACTTTTTACTCTTGTCTCTTTTCATTCAGAATTTTGCATTCATAATGGAAATACACACACTTTTTCCAATATCTCGTATTGAAAATTGTTTGAATTTTTTATTGTTTGGTTGGGTCTACTTCCTTTAAGTTCATTTTTCCTTTCAACTTTTTTATGCAACAAACGAGCATGGCGTCGTACTTTGTTTAACTCTGTTGACTCAGATTCTGTTTTTTTGTTGTTGAAGTAATTACATGGTTGAATAATTAAAAAAATGTAGGAAACCTGCTTGCATATCCTGTTTGTAAATTTGGCAGAATACCTCTTGTCATTTTCTTGTCAAATTGCTATGTATGTTGAAGAATAGCTGGACGTTTTCTTGGAATTCCCCCCGGGAAATCTTTTGAGCTTAATCGATAGAAACATTGGCAAACACCTTTAGAACGTCGGTCTCTCTCTAAGACTGTAGGACTTAGCTTATCTCTCATAATACCTCTATTCTGTTACCTTTATTTGCTTATTTTATATACCTATTGAAGAGAAAATTTGCTAAAATCTTGGTCTCAAACCTTGTCGAATGCTCTTCAAAATCATTGTCATTAATTCCAGAGACATTGCTTGAATACACTGGACCCAAACTACTTGCACATTTGCGTCTGCATTTTTTCTGTTTTTTTTTACATATTGTCTTAATGAATTGTTTTGATTACCTTATTTCCAGTAATTTTGTAGATATAGTCAACTTTCTGCATGTTTCTACCATCCATCACAAGTTCTGTTTATGCTTTGCAGATTTTGTTAGCTGATTAATGGCTGTAACTGTATGCTCGATGGGATATTTTTAAATATTTTTATTCCCTCTTTCATTCTTGAAATTCGGGGGTTTGTAATTTAATCCCGCCTGCCTGTCCATATGGTCCACCATTTAACCCACTCGCTGTGTGTGTGCGCGTGCGTGCGTGCGTGCGTATGTTTACGCTTATATTCTTCAACATCATCTGTCCGTTTAATCGTTCTCTCCTTTTGCCTTTTCTTTCCTTCCACTAACTTTTTCCCCCATTTTTTTTCATTCTGTCTCTTCTTCCTCCCCCCCCCCCTCCCACCATCACCCACCCCTTTGAAGTCAGTAATTTGTATAAATGTTCAAGTAATTAAGAAAATTGGCACTCAGCTTAAAGAACATACCTACTTGAAGTTACCTCAGTTCTTCAAAATTGTTAACAGAAGGCAAATATACCAATTATTATGAATTGATAGAATCACTATTACTGAAATTGCTTTATAAGTAGCCACGATCTTCCATCAAAATATAAGTTAAATTGTGCAGATGAAATGCTGTGACTTGCACTCTAGGTTGAATTAAAGGCCCATAAAAGTGGCTTGGAAGTTTCCTCGTAACTCCCTCGTCGTGTAGTTTATCTACTGTTGCCTAGGTGATAACTGTGAATCTAGCCAATTTGAATACTGCCTAACTGTTTTTATCCGGATTTCCACAACCAGGGATGCAACTGTCATTAAAAATAATGATGGGAAAGGTCCCTCTGATACATCATTCAGCAAACTTAACGAAGCTGATAGCAAGTCTGATCAAATCAGCACCGCCGTAAGTTGATGTCAAATGATAGTAATCATCAGCCCTTTAGCTGACCTCGGGCTTCATAGAGGGGAGGAACAGCGAAGTGAGATAAAGTCGAGAGGGGAAACAGAAGAGCGGTTCACATATGTAAAAGAGACAGACACAAAGTCAACTGCCGGTTAATAGACTTTTTTGCCGTACGAGTATACGTTGCCCAGGGTGCACCACTTGGAGGTGTAAGTCTATCGCACACCTCGGACAAAGTAATATTGAAATTTGAATTTACGGCTCTTTGTTCATAACGTGGAATCGGATTCTCACTTGGCTTCAGGCCCAGATATTTTATTAAAGTTCTCCATTTTCCAGAAGAGAACTAAAATTTGACAATTGTGAATGAATTTTAAAATTGGGTGGTTGAAACACGTCCACCTTCACTTTAGCGGAGCATATTTTTCAAGCATAAACTAATCTTTCCAGCTGTGAAATCGGCTGAAATCTGAGAAGTCATTGGCAACTTTATTGCCACAATTAACTTTGGGGTGGTGTTGGTGGGGGGGGGGGGTATTTTATGGTGCTAGGCCATTGGCACTTCGTGGGAGTAAGCCGCCTTTGGGTATCTCACCCTTCCACTGTAGCATCCTTTTCCCCGATTTGCTTCGATTGTACTCTTGTGTTTATTTGATTGTATTTGGTTGGAAGAGACAGTTGGCATATCGCTGACTAGAATACTTGCGCTCGGAGTAATGAAA